CGTGTGTAAGGCTAGAAACCCGCGGGCGTGTCATAGAAACCCGAGATATGGGCGGCCGGTGGCTCTGGATTGCCCTCAGGCGGACTTGCTGCGCGGAAGTGTTTGACTGCTACCGTCGCGGACCGGCGTGCCGGACCGTCAGTATTTTTCATCGGCGCCGTCCGCTCGATCGATCGGACGGTCAGTTTGATTTTTGCGATTATCGCGAAAATTCACGTACGGTAGAATTGACCGAAAGTTCCCCGCCGACAAAGGGTTAATGCCGTTGCTTGTCCAGCTTCAAGTTCCTCAGCTAGCGAAGGTACTAGGTAGCTTGCCGCCATTTTTGGTCAGCTGCGCGGCCGCCTAGGCCGCGAATGCCTGCCGCGCGGCCGGCCGGCGCGCACTGAGCCGTGCGCGCTAAGGGGCGATTCGCACCCACCAACTTTAAAGTGGGCGTCGGGGTATAAAACTAGGGATGACGATGACGAATTTTAATTCCGCGGAGGGCCGGATCCGGTAGGCAAGTTTTGGGGTTGCCTGCTGAATCGGACCCCCGGCAACCTCAGAATCGGTCATAAGATAAATCAAAACCTGCCGTGGTCGCCGCGATCCTCAGGCAAATGAAAGTGCTCGGGGTGTGATCCTCCGAAGTCAATCCGGACCGTCCAAATCACTGAAGCCTGTGAAGAGCCGATCAGACACCCAGTCCGCAGAAGGAAGACGTCCGCAGGGAGGAGGAAGGGAGCACGGGAAAGCTCAGCAGAGGAGCTTTTTGAGCTCTTCCGCAAGCTCATGCTCCCAATGGCTGCCCTCCCAGCATCCCAGAAAGCTTCACCAAGCTCAAACAGGTCTAACAGGATGCCCTCATACCTTGTAAAAGTCCATTCAGAGCATCTTGCTGAGAGATGTTCTGGAAAGAAGGGAGAGCGCCTCTGGCTGGCAGCCATGGCGGCGGTCTCCGAGCTTCCCCTTCCCTTCCATAGACTTTTTTGACACTCTGAAAACTCCTAAGTGCTGGACATGGTATTTGCAAGGTTTGCTGGCATTCGCAAGTGTCAGTTTGTCTTGGGCGACCAGGTGCACGGGTAAACTCAATGGGGGACACCATCGCCAGCACCTGCACAGTCTGGTGCTTGTTGCAATCTCAGCACAGAGGACCTTTCGACGCTTCTCCATGCTGAGGAATGTAGATAATGGCAATTAAAGACAATGTCTCTAAGGAGTTACATCCATGGATGTCAAACATAGAAGATGATGCTCTAAGCAAGTATGCCTGGTTAGGAAGCCATTGCTAGATAAGGAAGCACGACTGCCTTCCTCAACCTAGCCTCAACCAGCAACTTGACCTTCTTCCTTTTTCAGCCACGTAAGCGTTACGACTGTAACGCCCCGGGCACTCACATCACAGTCTTAATTCAAGCTTTGCCCCTGAATATCGAAATGTGTTGGCAGAATCGCAAGAAATATTTGCCTGGGGCGCAATTGTTGCCGGAATGTTGCGCTAGAGTGAAAATCTATGCACCCGTAGACTCGGTCACCCCCCTGGAATTCCACCGTCATCCCTAATAAAACCGGTATTTCCTAGACCAAATCGGGAGTCGGCCGAGTTGCCGTAGCTCAGGTGGCTAGCGCGCTGGCCTAGACCTGGCCAAATGGACCGAGGTCACGGGTTCGAATCACAGAATTTCTACTTCGTTGTTTCTTTTTGGCCCTTTCCAGATATTAGAGCAAGCTTTTGGAGCCACACCGGGTACCTGATCTTACCCGAGACAGGCCATCCGACGATTGAAGCTTGTTCAAGGATATATGGGGCTGATCAATCGAAGGGCTCAGTTTGCATCTAATGCGACTCTACCGCGCAAAGTTTCTGTGACGTCATTAAACTTCGGCGGTACCTTCTAAGTCTCAAAGTACCGTACCAACGTACCGCGGTACGGTGACGATTTCTGATGTCACTAGCAATCGCAACCGTTCGATCCGATCGAGCCGAAGGAATCCACAGCGTCCGATCAAATTGGGACCCNCGGGT